GATGTTCTCCCCCTTTTTCTGTTAATTTTCCAAGCAGCAGACGCAAGGCAGCTTGCTCCTATGCTAAGTCATCCATGGCTGAAACCCAAATGCATTTCTGAGTCGATGGAAAATGGATTATGCAGAATTGAACAAACAGAGTGCCTTGGCTTCTGTTCAAATGTGTTCCTCCAGAGCTGTGCCAGCCCTGCCTGCTGTCAGAAGTATTTGGCTAGGATTTTTTTTTTTTTTTGGAGGGGGGGAGCTCAGATGCTAGGGAGGGAAGTGCAGTGTGTCTTTTTCAGCATGATTTCAGGACAGGATGCTCCAGATAAAGCTTTCAGATTTATTAACAGCCCAACGAGTGTTGAACAAATGCCAAAGCGATCCTTTTCTTTGCCTCTTAGTTAAAAAGAGGGATGTTTCAAATGTAGAAATCACTGCAGCTGGTTGTGCAACGGACCTGTCCTTCCGGCGAGGCACCAGATCTCTCATTTACACTCCATAACCCTCACAAAGTTGATAGACTCACCAATTTGGAGATCTAGGTAGATGTGCTTAACAATCTGGTGGGATTCTAAATTGGTCTGTGGGAGAACACTAGAGGCCCACCTGGTGAGGGACAAGTGATTTGTCTCTTGCAGAGATAAGATTCAAATCAGGAGCTGTAGTGGAGAAAATAAATCTAACAAAATGGAGACTGCACCCTTCCCCCTCCCCTTGTCTTTTGGAGATGACCAGGTTCAAACCCAGTTCATCTCTGCCTAATCCTATCAGACCCAAATTGACCTTCCCTGCCCCAGAAAAAGCTCCCCAGCCCCCTTGCACTCCCATCAAACCGAATAATAGAAGCTCCTCACCAGCTCACGGTATAGCCCAAGGGCAGCCCTTGCAAGTGCAACATAGAGAAGTCCCACTCCTCCATCAGCTGATGACCATCTTCCACCCATGTTCTGTCCTCCATCAGCTGATGGAGACCATCCATGTTCCATCCTCTATCAGCTGATGGAGGCCATTCATGTTCCATCCTCCATCAGCTGATGACCTCAACATTCCATCTCTTTAACAATGGACTTCTTCAGCTCTGCTGCCCTCCTCAAAGGCCCATTTTGCCTAACAATAGACCCCCCCCGAGGTACTTGGACAAGGACCTGCCTAACTCCCCCAAACTGGCCAGTAAACCAGATCCGTAGGATTTCCCGCTTTGT